TTCAGTTTACCAACCAAACATTTTGATGATGAATTGAATTTCCTTCTCTCACATTTACATGGATGTATCCATGTGTTAGATGATAAGCAATATATATATATATATATATATATATATATATAAAATAATAATAATAAATAAATAAATAAAAAGATTAGTTTATAGCTCAGAATTTTGTCCTTCAAAATGAAAAGCAATGGGAACTGAAAAAGATAAGTAGAAAGGAATTAAAACACATAAGAGACAACGGTCTATCTAAGAAAGATAACTTTACAAAGTAAACCTATGGAATCAGAACTTCTAACAAATCAAACATCTTCAATAAAAATGCATAGCTGGTCTTGTGAAACCTAAAAGACTGAAAAACATGCCATTGATACAGACTAAGGCAAAGGACAAAGAGAGAGCAATACCTTCTTTGGGTGCAACTTAAGATAAATATTTGAGACTTTAATCTATCCACTTGACTTTCTCTGTTGAAGAAGACATCAAAAAATTATATAAATAAGTTCAGAGATGATCATGAAGCAATACCTCAAAGACACCTTCAAGAATAGCCAAAATGAGAAGAATACCGATCTTCGAGGGGGATATATGGAACCCAGTCCATTTTCATTTGTTTCATGGGAATTATCTCTTCAGACTCTCTCTGAACTGAGTTAATCCCAATTTTATCAGACGGTGGGAAGGGTGATACAACCTGTTTACACAAAGGAAGATAAAACATTTTTAAAGTTAAAATAACAGCAAAAGTTTTAAATTTTAGATTTTACAATTTTCAAAATTGATCAATTACAAAGCTGACTCCAACAAATAATTATGAATTTTTGCATTGCATCCATGAATTGGAATTTCCTTCCAAATGCCTGTGCCCAAGACCAAGCCCCACTAGGAGCGACACACATCAAAGCTAGAAAACACAAATAACTATTCCTAAATTGCACAATCTAATGCAAAAAACCCCATTAGCACTAGTTAATTTGGCCAACACATAACAGAACCAGGTTTGACAACTTACAGCCACAACAACAGGTATGCAGACAACTTTGCTTTCATCTTTGAACCAGACCAATTGAGCTGAAGAAATCAAGAAGGACATGTAGTCAGACAAAACACCAATTAAAGGGCAATGAGCTACAGCTGCCCATCAAATTCAAACCCTAGCAAAATAAGTAACAACAAAACAGTGAAATTTGCAAGTCACTTACGCTCGGTGCAGCCAAATAGATAAACTCTTTTCCCATGCAATACACCACCCTCTTCAAACGCATTCTGAACACAATTCATTGGAAATATTAAACCGTTACATAAAAGGCAAAATCCAGAAACAGTTAAAACTGACCATAAAACTCACTTCGAGGTTAGAGAAATTCCACTTGTATTGGTATACAGAATCCAATTGATCCCACTGTCATCATAACAAGAGGCAGTGAGAAAAATAGGTTACAGCAATCAAGTTATAAATAAGCAAAGAAATCTGACTAAATAAACGAACAAACCTCTGTTCCGACAGGGAATGTTTCTCTCCACAAGTCTTCCTACGAATATACACGAGTAAATAAATGTGATTGGCAACGATATGGATTAAGAAGTATAAACAATAGTAGAAACCCTCGAGAAACATTGAAATTGAAAATTAGGGTGCGATACCAAGTTGCGCTTATCCTCGAAGTACTCGTCGGGCTTTGGAGGCTTAATTTTGGTGGATCGCTTCTTGGTTTGTTTGAGCTCTTCGTCGTGCCTCGCTTTTCTCTTGGTTCCTTTCTTCATGGTGAATTTAGAGAGAGAGAGAGAGAGAGAGAGAGAAAGAGAGAGAGAGAAGAGTGATGAGAGTGAAGGAAAGCGGAGAGTCCAAATTTGAAAGAAGACAAAACACTAACTATGAAAGAGGCGGGGATGCGTCGGTCACTAATACTTTTCAAATTTTCCACTCACAATCACAACTCACCCAACCCTCTAAAAATTAATTAATAATTAAAACATGGGGTATGGGATATTGTTGGGATTTGGGGTGCTGTTTCTGTGTGCTAATAAAAAAATATAATTAATTAATTAATTAAAGAGTTTCATTTAAATATGCTAATTGTGTAAAGATTCTTTGGATTTCAATCAAGTCAGTAATTCATTTTAAAGGAAAAAGGGAGTGATCTCGGTTAATGATTAAAAAAATAAAAATTAATAGCATCGTTTAAATGTACATAAACTGTTAAACTCAATTATGAAGGTGTTAAAATATTATTGTTAAATTCTAATAACTATTGAAAGGAGTTGTATTATTATTTTCTTCTCACCATGCATGACCTTGGAATTCAACATCTCAAAATGGTTATCGATAGTTCAAGGTGTTTTAGATTAAAATTTATAACACAATTTTAACGATAAAAAAATAATAATTATGATTTAGGTTTTATTGTTTACGGTTTAGGGTTATGAATTTTAAAAAATTTACAAGAATTATATAACTTTTAAGATTTTGTTAAGGGTATTGTAAGAATGTAATGATTTTCAATATTTTTTTATATTATAATTAAGATTTTGTAATATTAATTTTAATATATTTATATCATAAGAATTTATAAGATTTGAAAGAATTTTATGAGATTGTAAAAGATAATAATCTAGATTTTTAAAAATAATACAATTAATAAAAATAACATAGATGTTTAGATTTGAATGAAGAAAAATAAAGGGTTTATTTGTTTAAACTCAAAAATAAGTGTTTTTAAATAAAAGCTTTTAAAATAAATAATTTTTGAAAAAGTATATAGAAGTTACTTCCTTAAAAAAGCAAAAAGCTACTTGTTAAAAAAAAAAAAAGACTACACACATTAAAAAGTAGAAAAATGTTTATTTTGTAAATAAAAAAAAGTGTTTTTATAATAAAAAAAAATAAACAAACAAACTCAAAATTAATAGAAAATTTTCAATTTCTTAATAAATAATTTATTTTAACATCATGTTCTCTTAAATAATATTTTTTTACATATTTTTCTTTATGTATTTGTATTTTCTCCTTCATACTATTAAACTTGAACAATATTTTCAAATTTATGATATTTATTAAATGATTGAACTGTTAAAATTGAAATGACCTAATGGACCAACTCATTGGCTCTAGGAGTATCAAAGTGAATCAATCATACTCACTTTGATTGATGCTTTAAACAAATTAGAAAATTTTAGCCTGACTTGACCGACCATGAGTAGGTGAGTTAGGTGGGTTCGCTCACCAATTTTTTTAAAAATAAAATAAAAATTAATTTTTTGTTAACCTAGTATGACTCAAACATGTAGTGAGTAAGGTTGACCCAACAACTTGTAACTCACTTTTACATCCCTAATTGGTTTGCTAGGTCAAGTTAGGTCAGACTCTTTATTTTTAAGTCAGGCTAATGATATTTTTTCCTTTTTAAATTATGTGTAAAATTATTATAAATAAATAATTATTTTTTAGTTATGTGTGTATAGATGCACATATATTAAATTAATTATATTTAAGTTGATATTGCATGTAACTTAAATACTAAAACTTTTACTCTCAAAATCACACAAACTCATAATTCTATTTTTATCTATTTTGAAAATACATTTTATATACTAAATTTATAAATAACTTAAAAAAATGTCTTATGTTGTGTTTAGTTGAAATTTTTTTTCATATACTTCAAATCTTAATTGTTTTATTGTATAATTTAATTCAAATTTCTTAAATTTTAAATACTTAATTTTTTTAATATACGTTTAAAATTTTGATATTTCAATGTTAAATTTTTTTTAAAATAAACATTTGTCAGATTTTAATAATTAAAAATAAAATATTAATAAAATATATATCAATATTGTCGAATAAATAAATATATGAGAAAAAATATAAAAAATATATAAAAGAAGGTAAATGAGCGATATGAATAGAAAAGGAAAGAGAAGATGAGAGAGATGAAAGGGGAAAAAGAGAAGCAAGAAAGATGAGAGAGGAGATTGAGGAAAGAGCAAAAAAAGACAAACACAAGAAAAAAAGTCATGTGAAATTTCAAAATTTTTGGTAAAATAATAGATGAGTGAATTATATGTAAATTCTTCTAAAGAGTTTAACAAAATTCATCTTTCAAAATAATCCTTTACAATCTCTATGTTTTTTAAAATCATTTTTTTTAATTGAACACCACCAAATTTGGACATACTCATAAAAGTATTTTGGATGTCTTAATCGAATACCATTGAACTTTGACATACTTTTAGAAGATTCTCGACCGTCTTAATTGAAAAACACGAGACTTTTTCATATTAAAAAAATCTTAATTGAATATCATGAAACTTTTTTAATTAAAAAAATTATTTAAAATTTTAATTCAATATACTCCCTTAATGTAGTGTAGCCAGTGACAATGTTTGCACTCATAATACTAAGTGAGTTGAGTTATAGTGAAGAGATTATTTTGGGTGTCTCGGTGTGATGCCAGAGGTTTTTGAAAAGTAAGGTGTAGATAAGGGTTTCTCTTTACCATCGTGTTCTTAATATGGAAACATATTATCAAAGTATAGTTATTTTGAAATAGATTATCACTTTGGGGTGGTCAACGTAGGGTGTCATTAGTCAACCAAGTGACACTTGTGCCACATTATTTTTTAAATAATTTTTTTCATCTGAAAATGGCATTAAACAAGACCTGTGGCAACAATGCTAGTGTCATTGGAACCCATTGTGACATGACATTTTTTTAATTCTTTCTTACTTTTTTTATAGGCAAAAAAATTAATTATAGAGAATATAAGGGGTACTCTAACCCATTACAAGGAAACACAAACAACCAAGATTCTAAAAAAGCCAACCCAACAATAACAATCCTATCAATCTAATATAACAAAAGTCAAGCACAACTAGTACACTCCTACTATATTATAATGAGTCATTTAAATCCCAAAAAACATGCAAAATAACACCTATGTGACAACAAAATAAACCAACTCAATAAGAAGAAAATGGCTCCCACTGTAAGAAATAATATTGCCACCCTGCAAAACTTATAAAGGAATAGAGCCCATCAATCATAAAAGCAACCTCTTAACCACGAGCGAAGAACACCAAGAACTAACATCATCAGCAAAGATCAGATTAGGATAAATTTAAATAGATAGAAGGTTGCTCAGTCCAAGCGCATAAGTGATAAGAAAACTTATGATCTTCCACTTTTAATTATTTTTAAGAGCGTAGTTTTACCAACTCAAACACATCTGACATAGATAAAACATGTCCTAAAAAAATAAATGCATTCCAAACTAACCAAATACTCCATAGAGCAGACAACCAAATCACAAACTACCTATATGTCATTTTTTAATTACAGAGAGGCAGCCACATAATTGTTTAAGATGAGCGATAAAGTTATTTGACAACACAAATTGGAATTGAAAACTGACATTAAAAAAAAAATGTGAAGAAGTCTCCACCCTTTGATTGTACCATACACATGAAGTATGAGAATCATGAAGCACTTGTCTCTTGGCAAGATTTACTATAGTAGGAATTCTATCTAACATTTCCCTCCAAGCAAAGCAAGAGACCTTAGAGAGCACCAAACGACACCAAATAAACTTGTATAATGGTATTTATGCAAATAATGAGTCATTAATAATAACATGATAAGTTGATTTGATGAAAAACACGCCACTTAGATAAGCTTTTCAACACCAAGTATCCCCAATCCTTTTATGAATTTGAAACCTACTCAGCTCCAACACTAACAAATCTAACTATGACAATTCCCATTGAAATAAAGGTTTTCACCCCAGTTCCACTCAACTCCACCGACACTACCAATAAACATATTCTTAACAGTTGCCTGTTGATTGATAGCAATAGAGAAAAGCTTACTATACCTCGTTGAAAAAGAAATTTTAATACACCAAGAATCTCTCCATAATGAAGTGCTTTCCTCATTACCCACAACTCTAACACACCTTGTTGAAAACCACTCCCAATAAATACAATCACACTCATCAGTATATGCTTCACAAATCTAACCACCACCTAAACCCACTACCCTTTTTACCAACCTTTGTGCCACAACAAGACTCAAATTTTTTAGTTGCATCACTATTTGGCATAATAACACTTTTTCTTTTCTACTACCTATGTCGTAAGGGGTAATAATGTGACTTTAAAAAAAATTGTTGTGTCGCAAGTGACCACAACAAGACTTTTTATTTTTATTTTTTAGGATATAGGGAATTTGGGGGTGGAAGTATGCAAGCACCTCCCTGTTGTACCAAACTCCCTATCACATTCTTTATCATATTCATCATTTTTATATATTGAATCAAAATTCATAGGACCCTCAATATAATTTACGTCTTCAATTTATTTGAAATTTTTTGACACTTTTTGAAGAGCTTTTGGTGGCGGTATAACTGATGATAGTATTATAGTTGGGATATCCAAAAAGCTTAAAAAATAATACGGGACCCCACGCTCAATATACATCTTTCTAACCATTCCATTTCCAAGAATAAAATTATCATTCATTTTCTATGTTGTATTAGTTTTTATATGAGTTAAAATGGTAGATAAAGGATGAACACCAACCTTTATTTAAATTGAAATAACGAAATCCTTGATAGTTTCAAATTGAGGCAGGGGATCCTATGTCCCTGTACCTTTTCCTTTTCTACATGGAAAAATTTTGCACTACTAATACAAGAGAAAGTGAATGAAGGAGTTTGGATGTCAGTATAAGTTTATTAGAATGGCCCGACTATCTCACATCTTTTCTTTGTGGAAGATTGTCTACTTATGGTTAATACTACACCTTCTCAAATGAAGGTGGTGAGGGATGTACTTAATCAATTTTGTAGAACACTAGTTTTAAAG